TGCTGTGACACTCCTCCTAAGGCAGTCCAGGACACCGTTTGCCACCTTTGCCGGCTTATGGTCAACTTGGTGTCCACCAGGACACTCAGGGTCTCTTCTGTCAAGCTTTAGCTTTCCAGCTGGGTGGCCCCCAGTGTATCCCAGGGCAGATTTCAGGAATATTTAAGAACCTGAGAAGCCACAAAGCCAATAAACACATTAATATTGTTTGAAATACAGTTATTTGAAGCCAATTTTGTGAGGAAAAGAAACACATATTTTGACCAGACTTTCTAAAGTGTTGATGGAGCTGTACAGCGTCTCTGTGCTGGGAGCTTCTTTTCTCTGTGCTCCTCTGTGGCCTGTTGCATGCGGCATATCCCCCCTCTTTCCAAACAGCAGATCATTCCGTGGCTTTGCTGTGGTTTTGTGAGAGGGCAGGTGCAAGACTGTGGCAGAGTTGGAGTGTCATTTGTATAGGAACCGTAGATATACTTGCTTTCCAAGCCACTGTGCCACTGGTCCAGAGCGCTGGTGTGCCAACACCCAATGCTTCTTGTTTGATGAGCTCGAAACTTTGCAAGCAGCAGAACCAGTGAAGCCTCATTGCCTTAAAACTTGTGTTTTGGGGCCAGTTTCCTCTGCTTGTGTGAATATGTGTGCACAGATCAGCTGTCCCCGGCCACAATGTGATGATGCCCTCCTCTGCGAGGTGAGAGGCAATGCAGAGACCACATTCTCTGTGCAGATACTTGGTTTTCCAAACTTGAAGGTTTTACTCTGATAGAGACCACTGTTACAGAGACATCTGATCTTGCTGTCAAAACTGGTTGAAATAGGCTGGCGGGGTCTGACTGCAGACAGATGGCCATATGCACGTACGTACTCATACATGGAGAATGTGATTGCAAGAACTGCTTTACTGGAGCAAAGCAGGTCACAAAAGAGAGTGCCCCTGGATGAAAGTTGTCTTGAGAAGTTCCTCCTTCCAGCCAGCATGTTGTGATGGTCTCTGGAGGGACCACAGGTCAGCGTGTACGTGTGGCTGGGGTTTCCTAGGGTGGCTTTTCTCCTATCTGGCTTCTCCAGAGTGGGAGCCCGAGGTCCTTGGCTGTCCCTCGGAGGAGTGGGTGGTGCAGAGTTTTAGGTCCCTGTAGACGTAAAGGAAAGACTGAATGGCAGGTTTTGAATCATGGGAGTGGGGCTGACCTACACCCTCTGTAAGACATACGGAATTACACTCAATACCAGGAAAAATGGAGAACTCAAAGCCGCACTGATAAGTCCAAAATAGCTTTCACCTCTACAATTACTTGCTATTTTAAAATCCAGTTGGTGGGATTTTTGAAAGCTGCTAAGTGTTGGCCTAATTCTGGTCCTGTCAGGGCGGGCAGAGTTTTATCAGATGGCACTGGGGCCAAAAGCTTTTTAAGATCCCAACTAAATAAAAAAATTAGAAAATAAATAAACCTTTTGTTCATTGTCTAGAGCAGTCACCAGAAAGGCAATGTGTTAGTTTGTTTTGCTGATTGTGCTAATTTGCAGGAAGTATGGTTTCCATCCTGGGAGGTTTTCAAGACCAGACTGGATAAAGCCTTGAGAAACCTGGTCTGATCCCGTAGCTGACCCTGATGTGAGCAGGAGGTTGGACTAGAGACCTCCTGAGGTTCTAATAATCCAGCCTGAATTATCCTGTAATCCTTAATGGGTCATACCAGAGCTTGCAGGAGACCTCTTGAAGTGATCTCTGGGGTGGTGGTACCTGCCTGGGCTCTGGCTCCATGTGCTGAAGCAACCAGACTTGTCTCAGCCATGGGCATCCTCTCCCTGACATCTGTCAGAGGCCCTGCTCTCAGGGAGCAGCGTTGTCCAAAGGGATGTGTGTCGGTGCCTTTTTCCTGCTGTGACAGGGCAGATCATAGCTGTGGCTGTGCTCCTTTACAGAGATGCTTGTTCTCTTCTCCCCTTTTCCTCAGATGCTGCTCCTGACCTGAGATATTTCAGAGCAGGTTGGGCTTCCAAGGGTTTTTCTGCCAGGTTTTGAAAACTCTGAGCTGCAAACAATGTCTCTGATCATGATTCTCACTTCTCTGGGTTGAGGAGGGAGCTCTGCAGCCTGGGTGTTGTGTCATGCCCACGCCTGTCCCACCAGCAAGGCTCCAGAGCATTGAGAAGCAGTGGTCCAGAGCAGTGCGCCAGGGCTTGAGTCTGTTTGTGCGGGGGTTATCTTGGAAATCCTGAGTTAAAAGTTTAACAATGCGTGCTATGGTTGATGTGAGCAATGTTGGTGGTAAATTGTTGCCCAACACCATGGAAGCCCTTGACAAGAGGTGGGAGAGCCCTGGGAGTCGCTGGGTTTCCGCTGTGGCAATGGTGTGCTTACAAGTTCACACCAACAATGTTCTTGCTGCTCACGTGTGGCTTTGGCTTTGGGGTTTGGGCTTTGGGCCCATCTCCCCCCATGGATCTTAAAAGGAGATAAATGTGGCTTGAGACATCTGTAAGCATAAGGTTTTGTGGTGTCCAGGACCTCAGAGTCTTTGCTCCCCTGTGGAAAGGAGTAAGACACGTGCTGGGAGAGTTGTTTGCAGAATTTGTTCTCCACATATGCTCAGTGAGCAGGAGTTGGGGCAAGGTGTAATGGGAAGGTTTCCACCAAGAAAGAGGTTGCTCTGGCCAGAGGTGCCGGGGAAGCACAGACACTGCTGCTGTGAGGCAGATGAGAAGAAAAGGAGTGACAGTTTGTTGTAGGGCCAGGCTGTGGGCTGGATGGGCTCCTCTGCCTCCCTCAAGCTCCTTGGAGGGCTCCTGACCTTCTGAGCTGGGCTGCCCAGCTGTGGTGTGGTGGGGGGACGTGCCCTTTGCTTCAGCGAGGCCTTTCCCAGGAGGTTGTTGGAGGAGAGATTGTCTGGAGCTTAAGTTCTAAATCTCAGTTATTTAGTTCTTCCAGTTTAAGGAATACCACTGCAATCCATAATCCAAATTCCCACAACAATTCTGTTCACCCTGAACACAAAAAGCACAGGAGAACCAGTCTCGACAGCATCGGCAGGCAGCCCCGCAAGGCTTTGGAGACTGTCTGATGTGTGATAATTACTGCTGGTTATTTCCTGTGCAATTATTTGCTATTGTGTTCACATCATAGACTGCTGTACGGAGATGAGTTTGAGCATCACCCAGCTTTGGCACTGGATCTAGTTATTTCTCTTCCTTTCTAGGCACTTTCAGGCCCAAGTTCTGTTTAAATAAAAAAAAAAAAAAAAAAAGCCAATAGTTCACACAAAATGAGGAGTTGTCCTTGAAACATTTGACCCAAGTGATGAATCAAGAAAAAATATCAGATTTAAGTGCCTGAGAAAGCAAATAGGTTCCTAGGTGGTATTAGGAAGCACCAAGACAGGTTGGCTGCCCAATTCGTTTTGGCTTTCAGTTGGAGTCTGGTGTTCAGCTGAGTTACGCAGTTCTTGTTCTCCTGACACTTAACATCCTTTCTGACGTTGCACCTGGAGGGCCTTGAAGGTCCCTACCATTTGTCAGTTGAACATCAGGTATTTCTGATCACAAACCTGACAGCACTGTAAGAGAGAGGAAGAAGTAGATCTTCCCCTAAAGTGAGCACACCATCCCACTCTTTACCCTCTGCTTGTAACACCTTGATCTTAATGTCTCAGGTTTTAAAATTCTAGATTTGACCCTTTGTAGCCAAATTCTTATTTAACTGTGCTTCACTGAAATGGTCATCTCGTTTTCCACACGGCTGTCTTCTCTTTCAAATTCAGGTTGCGTCAAAAGCAATCAAGACATGTCCATGGTTCCCTACTTAGCCCCATAGTAGCCCTGCCTCCGTCCTGGCACCAAGTGCTTTGAAGAGGGTGTGGGAAACAGGGCAGGTCCAAAATCCTTCCCCAGCCCAGTGTCCTCAGGTTCCAGCAGTCTCTGGGACACTCGGACAGGCATGGAGAGATCCGCCTTCCCTGAGCACATCTGATGATACGGTGGATTTTCTGCTTAGCTCTTTTTTTGAATAGGGCAGGAGCAGCACCGAGAGCCCTTGCTCACCGAGGCACCCCGGGCACTGGGAGGCAACTCTGTTCTTCCCTCTGGCGTGCGGGCAGGCCCTGGTCTGAGGACATCCTAGTGTAGGCACCATCCTGCCTGCTGGGGCAGGGACAGGGAACTGAGGAAGGCAACTGGCAGAGCCACCATGGCCAGGTCCAGCTAGGAGCTCAGGTCACCAGGCAAGGTCTGAGATCAAGCCAGGACAGCAGCCGGCAGGTCAAGTCCTGCTGCTGCCAGACAGCAGCTGGAGACCGTGCTGCGGTGTGGCATAGACAGGCCAAGGGTGGCCTGACATGGAGTTCCTGGGCCCATGGGTGGGGGTCCCAGAGGAGGCTGGTCAGGGCCAGTAAGGCCCAGTAGTGCCCTCGGGCGGCCCTGACACCTTGCCTAGTCCTTGAAATTCATGGCTAAACAGGTTGAACATCACCAGTCCTGTGAGAAACTCAGCTGCGTGTAGTGGACTTCATGACTTCATACGCCTTGCACCTCCGCCCCAGTTAACTTCTGTCCATTGTGAAATTCTCTCTTACAGCCAGGTAGAAGATCAAGGGCGACTTCAGGGACCTCTGTCTTCTCCAGGGTAGGATTTGCCAGCCCTGAGTCTGTCTGCATCAGAGTGGTGTAGGCCCAAGTGGGAGCCAGGAGCAGCTTTTTGGTGGACCTGCTGGGCTCGGACCATCTTATGGTGGCGCTAGGTAAGAAAAATCCCTTGGCGTTTGCAGACTCTGAGCTGGGATCTCACAACAGGGGCTTTACTAGGTCATGTTGGTACCAGCTGTGACCTTGATGCTGTTCTCTGTTGGGTTAATATGTCTTACAGGGGGTTCTGCTGGGATATGGTGGAAAGGGAGGGACCATCCTCCACAGTCTCTTTCTCACTCTTTTGTTGTATTTGTACTTGTACCCAACTCGGTTTCTTCCTTGCTGTCTTCCAGTGTCTTGCTCTGTGTCCAGGCAAGGTGATGGACACCAGAGCAGAGATGGAGGTTGTGAGAAGCACGAAGGGGAATGCCACTGGGGAGGTCAGTGTCCATGTGGTCACCACCGAGAGCACTGTGCAGAGCACCCACCTGCCAACGACTGCCTTCATTATACCAGGTATGCAGGACTGTCCTCCCCAGCCTTCTCCCCCGCAACTGATTCCTCACACTCCTTGTATATCTGTGCTCCTCCCAAACTTTGGGAGGCAAAGCTGTGCTGCTGTTGCCATCTTAGAGGTTCTTTGTGGTTATCCCACATCACTTGAGTGATTCGTGGCCAATCAAAACCTCTTGAGTTTTAAACCAAAGTCCTAATGTCTGGGACCCTGTGCCAGTGCAGCAGTGTGCTGGGTGCCTGCTCTGCAGGGCATGTGGCCTCCTGGGCTGCTGCATTGTCATAGAATCATAGAATATCTCAAGTTGGAAATGACCCATAATGATCATCGAGACCAACTCCCTACTCCTTGCAGGACTATCTAAAACCAAACCTAACTAAAACTAAACTGGCTAAGAGCCATCGTCCTGATGACAGGTTTGGGGCTGCTCCCCAGGGAGCCTGTTCCAGGCATGCACCACCCTCTCAGTGAAGAACCTTTTCCTCATGTCCAATCTGAGCTTCCCCTGAGACAGCTTCAGTCCATTTCCTCCTGTCCCGTCGCTGGTCACCAGAGAGAGGAGATCAGCACTCCCCCTCCGCTGCCCCCCTCGAGGAAGGTGCAGACTGCCATGAGGGCGCCCCTCAGCCTTCTTTTCTCCAAGCTGAGCACCCCAAGCGACCTCAGCCGCTCCTCCCGAGTCTCTGCCCTGGAGACCTTTCTCCGCCTGGGTCTCCCTCCTCTGGACACACTCCGATGTCTGATGCCCTTCTGTTGAGGTGCCCAAACTGCCCACGGTGCTCGAGGTGGGGCTGCACCAGTGCAGTGCAGAGTGGGACAGTCACCTCCCTCGACGGCTCACGATGCTGTGCCTGATGCACCCCAGGGTATGGCTGGCCCTTTGGGCTACCAGGGCACAAGGTTGACTCCTATTCAACTTGCCATCAACCCAAACCCACACATTTCTTTCCATGGGGCTGCTCTCCAGCCTTTCATCCCCCAGTTTGTACATATAACCAGGCGTACCCTATCCCAGGTGCAGAATCCATCACTTTCTCTTGTGCAATTTCATACAGGTGGTGAATGCCCAGCTCTCTAGCCTATCCAGAGCTCTCTGTAAGGCCTCTCTACCCTTGAAGGAGTCCACAGCTCCTCCTAATTTAGTATCATCGGCAAACTTACTTAATGGACATTTGACTTCTGCATCCAGATCATTTATAAAGGTGTTAAAGAGCGCTGGCCCTAAAGTTGAGCCCTGGGGAACCCCGCTGGTGACTGGCCACCGGCCTGATGTGACCACATTTACTGTAGGTCTTTGAGCCCAACCCATCAGCCAGTTGTTCACCCAGCATGCTATGGACTCATCTAGCTGTACACTGGACATTTTGTCCAGAAGGGTGCTGTGAGAGACAGTATCAAAAGCTTTGCTAAATTCCGAAAAGCCCACATCCACTGGCTTCCTTTGGTGAACCCAATGGGTGACCTTTTCATAAAAGGGAATTAAGTTAGGTAAGCGGGACTTCCCCTCATTAACCTGTCTTGGCTATGGCCAATGACTCATTGTCTTTCAAGTGTTTTTCAGTAACTCCCAGAATAACCTTCTCCATAATTTTACCAGGCACTGAAGTGAGACTGACAGGCCTGTAATTACCAAGGTTGTCCTTCTTACTGTTCTTGAAAATTGGGACAACAATTTTCAGGCCAGCTGACCAGTGTCTTTCAGTGGGTGTGTGAGCAAAGCTTGGGTGTGTGTTAGGTGAGATCAGGGGTGTTCTTTAGAAGAAAATCTCCCCATTTTTCCTCCTCCCTCTGCCTCATTTCCCACTGCAGAGAGGCCCTGGGCTGCACCTTGTGTTCCTTTGAAATGAAACTGAACTGGAAGATGCAGTCCAGGAGCTCGCCAGTACAATCCTGCCACATCACGGGAACAGTCTGAGGTTAGGCTGAAGTAGGAACCCTTGAATGTAGATAGTGTTGGTGCCACTGCCCAGCACAAGCCATTGCTGGCTGCAGATCTTGTTGGGTCATGCTGCCTGCCTGTGGGTGCTTTAGCCCACAGCACTGAGCCCTCGGCTGGGAGACTGTCCTTTCTGTCACTTTGTGCTGCCTTCGAGCCTTGTTTGCATCAGTTAAGTGTTCTGTGTATGCCCCTTGTTGTTTGTTTCCTTTCTTCCCTTCTCAAGCAAATGCCACTACCATCAACCTTCCCACGAGCACCTTAGAAATTCAGCGATTCCCCCGGGAACCACAGAGAAGCACAGGGGCTGAGAGGCCAGAGAGGGGAGCAGGGAGCGAGCCCATCACAGCTACTGTCATTCCCCAGATCAGCGGGGTGCAGACCTGCAGCACAGTCCGTGTGCTGGAGTGGAAAGATGGGGTGGCTACTTTGCCTGGGAGTAACCTGCGGGTAAGTGTAGCCCTGGGCCACCGTGTTTGCTCCCTGCCCCATCACTCCCCGAAGCCGCTTGCCCTTGTGAGTGGTGGTCCCCCAGCCTGTGGCAGGCCGGGACCACCAGGATGTGATGTGGCCCCTGGCAGTACCCGCACCCCAGCTGGAGGATTCCTCGGCTGTCCTGGCTCTGCGAGGCTCTTCTTGTGCCCCATCCTTATGTCCCTCCTTTCTTGTGAGCTTAGCAGAGAGAGCGCGCACATGGTGCCTGGGGGGCTGCAGCAGGTCTGCCCTGCACAGGGAGGCCGAGGGATGCTACATGTTGTGCAGGGCATCTTTCCTTTCCAAGGTGCGCCGTAGAGTTGGCTCTCACCCTGGAATCAGTGGCCTTGCGCTTATCAAACAGCAGGTGCCTTTAGGTGTACCCCTCGGTACATTAAATAGCTTGCACAAAATGCACTTATTTCTCAGCTGCTACTCAGCCTCAGGGCACCACATCCTCCAGCCATCACCCCGTCCCTTGTGCTGCCAGCCGGTGCTGGTCTCACCCCGGTGCAGGCAGTGGCTCAGCTGCAAGCACAGACTGCAGGCAGGGGCGGCAGGGATGGTGACTTTGGTCCAGTGCTCACCTCTGTCATCAGAAGAGCTGTCCCCTTGTTGGATGCACTAATGACCAAGCCATGTCCCTCTCATTCTCAGAGCTCACGTGTACCCGCTAGCTGTCAAGTTACATTTCTATCCTCCTTGTTAAGTATTTTTCCTTGTTTTTTCATTTAATGACATAGTTTCGAATAAATGAGTATGGGACGCTGAAGGTGGTGAGTGCTGATAAGATGCCTCCAGTGGAAGCTATAAAGGAGGATCACACAGAGAAAGATGGGGACTCGGAGGTGGCACCCACCAGCAGGGACAATCCTACTGTGGCTCAGGGTAAGGGCACCATGCTGGCACTTCTGGGGTGGGTACCATCATCCAGCAGGCGCTGTCTGGTGTAGGCCCTGAGTGAGGCAAATGTCTCCTGCTTCCTGCTCTCCTTCCTTTGCTGCACCTTGTGCCTCACTGCTCCTCTTCTCTCTGACTCAGATGTGCCAGAGCAGACCAAGCTGCCAGCAGCAGAAGGCATGTGCCACTGTGATACCTGTGGCCGGAGACATGTGTCAGACGGAGCGCGGGAAGGCAGGGGCTTCTGCAGCGAGCACTGTCACCAGCAGTTCAAAGAAAGGTAAAGGAAGGGGAGCCTGCTCCATGCAGAGCCATATCCATCCATCTGTCTGCTCTCCCTCCCTCCCCTGGTCCACATGCTCCAGCCAGGGATGCAAGCGCATCTGTCTCTGGCGGGTGCTGGGGGCCCCCCTTGTTTCCCTCTTTCCTGTAGGCAGAGTGCCCTGACTGCAGTGGCCGGCGGGGGGATGAAGAGTTGTCCCAGGGCACAGCAGGAAGCACAGGAGCCAGATTTTCTCCTGCCCAATTTGCGGCCTCATAAACACATATCTGCTGGAGCAGGGCTGCAGCAGGAGGTTGCTGCCAGTGGGTGCTTCTAGGCTGAGCAGCAGTGGGAGGCATGGGTCACGAGGGCATTTCCAGCCCCTCTGCTTACTAATGTGTGACTCCTGGGACTTGTTTTCCAGCATCTCTGTGTGACTCTGATGCTACGAAACTAGTTCGCTTTTGATCCATCTCTGGGTTCAGGTTTCTGACACCCAAGTGTGTGAAGGTGGTTCTGGTCTGTACCCCGGTTCTAATCTCTTGCCAATTTGTGGGCTAAGAAGAACGCATACATTAGTCAGGAGGTATGGGGGCATGTGTGAGTAAGAAATGGGGTGGCATTGATTCTCCAGCAGCCACTCCCTTACTGACACCCCAGCCATTGCCGCATGCCGCAGTGGTTTACTCTCCCTTCCTCCGTGCAGGTCTGTCATTGTGGAAAACTCTGCCAGCACCACCAATGCCACCGAAATCCTCAAGCCGGTGAAGAAACGAAAGAGGAAGGACTACCAGAGCCCTTCGGAGGAAGAATATGAATCTGAGCAAATGGTAGGAAGAGGGTGGTGATGGCATGTGTGCGCACGTGCCGATGTCATGCGGGTATGCGCAGTTCTCGTCGGTGCTTTTCAGTGCTATGTCAGCTCCACGTCAAAGGGGTAACCTGCTGGCTGTTAACACAACAGGTTAATGCGACAAAAAGACTTGAATATGTGGAGCATCAGGGCTTCTAGACACTTGGCTTACTGTTTGGCCTGCCAAGCGCCTCGCATTTGGCAGTGCTAGACAAGACCTGATTGTGCTGTAGGTGTTATCCCAAATCTGGGTTCTTTACCCAGTGTGCAAGCCAATAACACACAGAGCAGAGGTATTCCCAAGTTTATTCCATTAATGCGCAGAAATGGGGTGCTCATCCCAAAACAGGAGCACACCTTAGTTTTAAAAATCTCCACTTTTGTACACTGATTATTACATATTCAAACAGTTAATACATATTCATTGTTATTCTCTTTAATGATTGGTCGAGATTTCTTTGCTTCCTATGTAAATTAGCGTGCAGACTCTGTCGTCTTCTATTGTTCTCTTTTGAGTAGATGGCATCATTTGGGCAGGTGGTCAATGAGTCAGTGGTCG